ACCAGCTCGAGTATCCTGCTTCCTGCCCCAGGGTGGCCGGCTGGGCTGCCCTGCCCCTGTGCCTACCTGAGTCCTGGGATCTGAGCCGGGTCCTGCCACCACCCCTCAGGGAGCAGGCTGGGAGACCACAGAGCAGGTGAGGGAGTGCCTGGGTGGGGCGGGGGCTGAGCCACCCCCTTGCCCCCCACCCCAGTCGGCACTTCTGCCCTGACACCAGCTCGGGCCTCCCAAGCTAAGGGCCCTGGGGCGGGAGCTTCCCGCTCCCTAGACCGCACCCCTCCCCAGAAATGCGTCAAGCATTGTCCCCCCGGTAGACTCGGGGAAGGTGCACAAGATCCCAGAGAGGGTGGGTCCTTGCGTTGTGGGGGGCCGGAGGCTCGTGGTGCCACCAGGGCCTGGCTGAGAGCACCCAGGCCGGCAGATGCTCTTTCTGTGAGGGCCCTTGCCCCTCAGAAGGGAGCTGGAGGAGGCAGACCAGGTCAGGGGTGTGGCAGAGCCAGAGAGAGCAGAGGGTGCCGGTGCCTAGGCTGCAGGACCACATGGGCTGCTGGGGGGCAGAGGGTTACAGGGCCCGGCTCAGCAAAGCCTGGAGGGTTATGCTCCCCCCGGGGTGCAGAGGGAGGAAGGCTGGACCCCACAGGTGAGCACAGCAGGACAGGCAGGCTCAAGATGGGGCGGGGCCACGGCAGGACCTGCAGCTGTGGCCGAGGGGCCCCCACTGCCAGCCGCCCCCACTCCTGCCCACCAGCACCAGCGGGGTGGCAGCTGCTGCCAGTCCATCCTGTGGCACGCTCGGCACACCGGGCCCTCCAGACCTCACTTCCCATCAGGGCGCCGGGCCACAGGGGAGAGGCGGAGCCAGGCCTTCCCACCTTTGCACTGTCGAGTAATCTGTGGTCGCAGTCGCCATTACAAAAGGAGTGCATTCTAGTTGACAAGGCTCGGAAAAGGGATGGTTGGGAGAGCAGAGGTCGCTGGACATCCCTGCAGACACCGTGGCTGGTCCTCCGACGGGCGGTCTGGCCTGGACAGGCTCCAGGCCCTTGGCCTGTGCCTAGCCACGCACGCCGGGGCTGCTGGGTAGTCAGAGGTGCCTGTGCTCTGGCCAGGAGGTGGAGCGCCAAGTCAACCATTAACCCCGACACTGCTGCCCTCACGGGGCCCGTTACGAAATGGCGACCACAGGGCCATTCCCAGAGCCGGCTGTCCGAGCACCCAGTGCAGCGGCCGGCCCAGGCCTGTGAGCATCCACTAAGCACGTGCCATGCCCAGGCCAGGGCCCCGGGGGCAGCTGCTGCTCTGGAGCCGGCCTGGCCACAGCGGTGCGGTCCCACGGGCAGGGCATGGGTCCTGCAGGCGGTGGAGCCGGCCCACCCTCCTGATGCCCTGTCCTGTCTTCTGCCTGCAGAACTGCCAGTACCCCCCGAGGGCCACGGTCCCCAGGAAGCTGGCAGCCCCGCCAAGCCTCAGGCACCCTTCGCTATCGAAGGGATGAAGATGGCAGCCCAGCCCAAGGCCAAGCCCACCAGGCCCTCCAGGTCTCACCCAGCAAAACCTCGAAGTTGCCAGCAGCCCCCCAAGATCCGTAACTACATGAAGGACTGACGGCCTCCCCACTGCTAAGGGGTGCGTGCGTGGGCGGGGCTCCACGCCAGCTCCTGTGCCAAGGCAGCCCTGCTGGCCTGCCCAGAGCCCAGTAAAGCCCCACGGCCTTCCCGGAGTACCTGTGTGTGTCCTACTTGGGGAAGGTGGCAGCAGTGCACCGCCAGCGCCCGGCCTGACCGCCACCACCCACCACGTCACCACCCACAGCCAGAATGCAGGCGGAGTGAGGCTTCCCCAGGGCGCTGTGGGGGTCGTCCCCGAGGGGGAGAGCTGTGTGCACGAGGGGTGCTCCCTCGGGGTTGGCAGGGTGGAGAGACCAGGACAGGTCACTGTGGGGCCTTCTGTGTCCATCCGTGTGGGCAGGAGTAAAAGGACCCCGCCCCCAGTGCCTGGGCCCGCCCTGCCAAGACAAGCACACCTGTATGCAGCGCCCTCCGAGGGCCATGGAGCGCACTCCCCAGTGAAAGGCGCCTCGCGAGGACCAGCCCAGCTGGCCCTGGACATCACACGGGTACGTGGCTAGCAGCAGTCTTGAGGGCCGTGTCCCACTCTCACCCTCTGAGCCCCAGCAGTCTCTCCCCTGGCTCTGCACCCAGCCGTGTCCGGCCGGCACAGAGCCCGGGGCAGGGGTGGCCGGTGCTCAGCCGGGCAGGGCCGCTGGCCTCACTGCCTGCCCTCGGGCACCTTTCCCTTTCTGAACCGGGCAGACAGCTTCTCTGGTAGGATGGTGGGGAGAAGCCTGCTCCTCGCCCTAGCCTGCCCTGGGAGCCTGGGTGAGGCACGGACATTGACACCTGCCGCCTGCCCCCAGCACAGCTGGACAGACAGCACAGCACACGGGCTGAGGACAGGCCCGGTGCAGCGTCTGCAGCTGCTCTTGCTGAGCCTCGCGTTCGCAGTGCTGGCGCAGGCACACAGGTGCAGGCCCCACACTGTGTCCCTGGACACTGTGTCCCCAGCGTGCTGAGGCAGTGGCCAGTGACCAATGTCCCCAGCAGCTGTGGCAGATACACCTCTGCCCAGGGAGCGGCGTCAGGGCTCTGAGGCCTGGCCGGGACACCTCAGCTGAGAAAGAGTTGAGAAGTCTGCCACAGTCCCTGGTGGCCCCGCCAGCCCCACTGGGTACGGGTCCCGGGGTCTCTGTCCTGCTAGTCCAACCTGAGATCATAACCCCACCCCACCTGACCCCCACAGGCTGCAGAGGAGGCCCAGCTGACAGTGCAAGAAAGAAATTAACCAGGTTTATTTAAGTTTTGCTATAGGGTGTGTGCACACGCCAGAGAGGAGGGGAGTGAGACACGGCATACCCACTCCCCGAGAGGTGCTTCGGAAGGACCATCCCAGCCATGGGATGGCCACGCCGCAACCCCTTCTCCTCCATCCTCCTCTTGGGATCTTGGGCACACAAGCAAATGGGCCTGGTGTGAGTTTTAAGCCATGGGTCGGGGACTCAAACTGCAATTAAGTATGTGGGAGTCCAGCAACGTAACCATTACGCCATCTGCTGGTCCCACCAGTGTGATTTTCAAGCCACCAGGTCTAGGATTCAAACCATGGTCGGCCATGTGGGAGTCCAGCACCTTACCAGTCATGGCACCTGCTGGCCCCAAGCCTTAGATGTTTTAAGGCACAGAGAGCGAGGGTAGTTTGCACAGTTGAGTCCCCCCCATCTGGACCAGGACCCCAGGTATCTAGAAAGCTCCTTTTTGCCAAGACCAGCCAAACAACCCAGCCTAGGAGTCAGAAGGGACCGAGTCCTGCAGGACCAAGCCCTGCAGGACAGCCAAGCGAAGGGTCTCTCCTTCCCTGCCCTGCAGCCCACGGTGCAGGGTTCACAAGCCCAATGCAGAGGGGAAGGCAGAGATGGCCCGGCCAGCGGAGCTACCAAGTGTGAGCTGCAGGAGCTGTGGGGACCCCCGTGCAGGGCAGGAGTGGAGCTGGGCCTGACGCTCCCCTGAGCTAACAGTCCAATGCTGGGTTGCTGGAGCCCAAGCACAAGAGCAGTTGGGTGTCTGAGCACAGGGGTGCCGCTCGATTCTGGACTCAGGGGTCTCAGTGGTTTCAGGTTGCCTTTCTCCCACCCAGGAGCAAAGACTCCAAAGCAGGACAAGCCGCTGGGGATCTGAAGCCTCAGGAAGGCCTCCTTGCTGCCGCTTTCTGTGGCTCTGGCCCTGCTGGCGCGAGGCCGCCAGGAACTGGAGGGCCGTCGGTGTGTCCAAGAGCAGCTCCGGGCACCTTCGCGCGAGGGTTTCCGAGACAGGGCGGGCGGGGCGCGGCCTGTGCACGTGGAGTGCGCAGTGTGCGCGGCGAGACGCGCTGGGCGGCGGCACTTTTTGTTGCAACCACACCGCGTGCGGGTTGGGGCAGGTC